ATGGATTGGAAGCACCCTGACGGGAGGCTGTGGGTGCCCACACCCATACGAACTGGCGCTGCATGACCCTGATCCTGACGGCATCTGCAGGGAATGACACACGCCTACCGCTTCAACCAGCGCGATTGCCGGCCGTGGTCTTGTCGCCATCGCCGAAGCTGAGCGACACCGCCAGAAGTAGGGATGTCAAACTTGGAGCTCGAAATCGCAATGCACGGCGTGTTCGGAACGGCGGAACATCCCCTCACCGAGTCGGCATCGCAACACCTTTAAGGCATGCAGTGCGGTACCAGTGTCGGGACCTTCAACGCGCGCGGAGTGGCGCGCCCCTACACAAGAGAGGAGTTTCTGAAAGTTTACCCCCACTGGCACGACCCCACGAAGAAACTGACCGTGTCGAAAGAAGAAGATTTGGCGCGCCACGAAGCAGAGGAGCTTCGTCGACAGAGCCTTGCCGAGGCGCGTGGCACATTTGCATGTGCTGCATGGGGCGCCAAAGAGTAAGAAAGCGCCTCCAGTGAAGGGGGCTGGGGAAGCGATGGGGAACAAGTGACACCGGCAGCACCTGGGCTAACGGGAGTGGCGAGTGTGGCGCCGCATCTGGCGGCGAAGGCAGTGGATGGGGTACCTCCGGCGGAAACTGGGGAACTTCCCGCGAAGAACAAAGGGGGGGAGAAGAAGCAGAGCGCGAACCTCCTATTGTTTCCCTTGGTCGTCCCCTACGCCACGCTGCACCTGCGTTACCCCCACCTAACATCCAGCCGCACCGCGATCCCTGGGACACCATCGATTGGGGTAACGAACCATCGACTCCGCGCCGCACCGTCTACGGACCTGCTCCCGAGCCGCGCGAACCAACCTTCGTCCCTGGAACCATCCCTGGGACCAACATTCCCTATTCTATCATCCACGACAGAGAATTTTTGGCGCTAATGTTAACCACGGCAAATGGCGAAGAAGAAGCAGCAGAAGAAGCACCAGCGGATCCTGCCCTAGTACCTGACGAAGACCCCAAAGCAGCACGCGCACGTTAGATGCGCACCTCCAGATTCCGTGCCAGCGATGACCTCTGGCATCAGTGCCTTGGATATCCCTCTCGTGCAACACTAAAAAACTGCATCGAAGCTGGCGTCTTCGCCCCTGGCGCACTCTTGCGCCCAGACGGAAGCGAAGTGAGAGGCATGACACACCCGCGCAACTGCACCCTCTACCCCGAAGCTGCGCTAAGGCGTGTGCATTTAGGCAAAAAATGGTCAAAGTTCAAACATTTACCGTTGCACCGTGGCGACACGTCTCTCAAATATACTGTACCGAGTAGAACTTCGCTAAAAGTCCGGATTTAGATAAAAGTTTGAACCCCTAGTGCACACGCCCTAAGCCACCAGCCGTTCCCATTGCTCGAACCAGGAACCAACCGCTACCCCAAGCTGTACAAAGTGTACAGCGATTTCCTCAACGTGGGGCACTGCGGAGTCAATCACGAGCTGTATATGCTCACCTTCATCCACGCTGGGACGCGCTACGTGTGGGTCGTGAACGTAGAAGCGCGCAGCAGATCGTACGAAGTATTCTACCTCTAGCTGTTGCACGCGCAACGACAATCTCGGGAGAAGCTGAAAAGATGGCAATCAGACGGCGCAGCAGAGTTCAGGAGCGAGAGGCTGCAAGATTTCATGGGGAAAAGGGAAGCGAACATCATATTTCTCTCCCCTATGTGCACCAGCAGCAGGGTGTAGCCGAGCGCACGAATCGCACGCTCATGACGAAAGTGCGGGCGCTAATGAAGCAGTCAAAGCTTCCGCCGATCTACTGGACCTACGCGATGCACCACGCCGTGCGGGTGCACAACCTGCTGTCAACCACCTCCATCATCGGCAACCTATCTCCACATCTGAAGTGGGCGGGGACAAAGGGGGACACATCCATGTTCCGTGTGTGGGGGTGCATGGTGCAATATCGCCCGCCGACGTCAACTATCGGGAAGTTCGCCGGCCGCGCGCGCTAGGAAATTCATCTCGGCATCAGCCACGAGCACAAGGCATGGATCATCTTGGATCTACTCAGCCAGAAAACTACCCACGCACGCGGCGTCATCTTCTACGAGTGCCTTTTTCTCGAGCAATTCCGCCACGACGAGCAAATGAACGCGAATCGCGTTTACGCGAATGACGGGCATAGCTACGCAACACCTGAGGACGAAGCCGCTGCAACAATCCTGGAGCAGGACACCAGGGGCGAGTTCACGGGAAGGGACTGCCAAAACAGCGACGACGACGACGACGATTCCTCTGGGGGAGGAATAGGCGGAACAGGAGGAAGCTGCAGAGGCGTAGCGTCACCAGCACCACCTGAACCAGAGAGTGACGACGACGACGTGCAGGAGGTTATCCCGCGGCATCGCCACGACAGCACTGTCTTTGGGATGCAGCTTCTTGGGCTCCACACCGCCACCTCAGCGGCACCACGCGTCATCGAACCGAAAAATCCTTGCCAAGCTCTCATTGGATGACACAGCAAGAAATGGGGCGAGGCGATGGCTGCGAAAATTAAGGCGCTCGAATCCCGAGACACCTGGGTGCTCGTCGACCGCGCTGCAATCAAGAAAGCAAGGATCCTTTCTGGCAAGTGGGTCTTCCGTGTGAAGACCACAGCAGACGACACGATCGAACGGTTCAAGGCACGCTGGGTGGTGCGTGGCTACGATCAGAGGCACGGGATTGATTTTGATCAAACATTTGCACAAGTCAGCCGTCACACATCCGTCAGAATTCTGCTCGCCGTAGCCGCTGCGTCAAATCGATGTGAAGAACGCATTTTTATACGCGTTAGTAGATGCAGTCATCTACGTGGAGCAGCCGCACACGTACGGAGAAGGAGACTCGCACGTGTGTCAGCTGCGCAAGTCCCTTCATGGGATCAAACAAGCGCCATGGCTCAGGCGACAGTACCAGCACAACATTCTCCTAGAAATAGGCTTCAAGCAGATGCCTCAAGACCCCGGGATGTACCGCCGCGACTTCCGCAGTGATTACATCCTAGTCACCGTCTACGTCGACGATCTGCTCTACACGGGGTCAAGCAACGAACTGCTCGAGAAGTTCGAGAGGAATCTGGCAGCGTGCATTGATATTACCTGCAGCAACGAGGTGAAGCAGTTCTTGGGACTTGATATCTCCTACGCGCCAGAAGCCATTCACCTCCCGGTGGTTAAGTATGCAGAGGAGCTTAGGAAAAGATTCAAGATTTCACTTGCGCCGCTCTCCACCCCTTATCGCACACCTCGACCGAACTACAAACCCGACAACAAAGCCCTATCCCCTGCTGGAATCCAGACTTACCAGCAGCAGCTGGGATGCCTGCTCTTCGCCTCCGTCACCTGCAGGCCCGACCTTCCCTACATCGCGAGCCAACTGGCTTAGTACTCTGGCAAACCAACTCCTGAGAACCTTCTGGATCTACAGCGCACCCTAAAGTTCTCCGTTTCAACGCCCAAGATTAGGCTCTGCTACTCAAGAGTGCCAACCCCATCGGCTACGTGGACGCTGATCACGCAGCAGACTACGACAATCGACGGTCGAGGAATGGGTTCCTGTTTCACCTCGAGCCGACAGGACCAATCTTATGGAACTCGCAGAAAAAGTAGCTGGTTGTCATGTCATCGACCGAAGCCGTTTTCATCGCCGCAACACGGGCAGTTCGCGAAGGCCTCTATTCACAGAATCTCCTACGAGAGGCGAAAATCCTAGCTTCGCCAACCTTTCTTCTGCACTGCGACAACCAGAGCGCAATCCGCATCGCGAACAAGCCCGGATTCGTCATTCGCACCAAACACAATGCGATGCGGTATTTCTTCGTCAAGGACGAAGTAGACAAGGGGAAGGTGGACTTGACGTACTGCCCAACAGGTGACATGGCAGCTGACTTCCTTTATGGCGAAGCGACTGCCACGCCAGCAGTACCAGCACTGCTCCGAACTCAGCGGAGTAGTCAAGCAGGTCAAGTCGAGCTACAGCCAGGAGTCAAGGGGGGTGTTACGAATAGTGGAAATACTATTGTGCACTCCTAACCGCAGCTAAGTGAAGCATGCAGCATCGAGAATGAATGCGAAGAGTCAGAGTCGACTCGAAGCGACGCAGACAGTTGCAGCAGACGACATCGGGCAGCTGCAGGATTGATGGAATTATCGGGAACAGTTTCAGAACTGTACGCGCCGCACGGTTGGGTTTGAATTTGAATAAGGGAATGCACCTCTTGGAGTACATGACTAGCTATGTCGTTTCGTATTCCCCTGTACAACTATTTATATGCATGTATTTGCTTGATTTAATCATCTCGTACATTTTACATTCGCTCTGTTCGGATTCGGAGGTCAAGGGCCTACCACTACCAACCAAGCTGCATGTGAACCTTCCCGAGGTGATCCTAGGGTCGATCATTCAGTGATCATAGCAAACGCCACCAAAGTGGGGATGGGAATGTGAAGGTAACAATTTTGAATGGGCGTGTGAAAATCAAAGTTTATCAACGAGCAATCTATGTATGTAATAATAAGTACAGCATTTTGAGCAGGAGTCTTGAGAAATAATGTGGAACACTTTGAAGCACGAATGACCAATTCACCAGCTTGGCGAACTCGACAGATTCTTGAATCGAGTACCCACAGGGTAACAAAATTGGTGTCGCTAGATTTTGCAACCCCGCACGATAGTGACCGATGGCGAAGCATACCCCCTGTCAGCAGTCTTCGCATACGCGCTGCTGGGGAGCAATAACCGTTTCTGCAATGACTCTGGGGAACACCAACAGTCTTCCCAGGGGAAGATCAAAATGGACTTGCTGCTTTTCCTCACAGGCTCTCCTCAATTCTTCTCTTCCTGCTTGTGTTCAGTCAACAGAACAGACGACAGCCGCTGGCATTACCGACGAGCTCTTGTCTGCTGTGATTCGTCGAGTTCGCTTGTAATTTGTCGGGTAGACAGCTTTTCTGGTTGCAAACGCGCATGTTGAACGCGACTCGGATACTGCATGTCGTTAGACACACAAAATGCCTCTAACTGTCCGTGCAGCTCCGGTTATTCAAACCTGGCGCGAAAGGAAAGTAGTGAGACGAGGCGACACATGAGGAGTCAGGACGGGTGAGAGAGCGATACGAGCAGTGATCCGGGTGGTAGTTAGCGCCGTCCTTTCGCTTAACCACCAGCAAACGCAGATTCCGTCGCATGAATTACAATATGACGGCAGATCGAGCAGCTCGTGAGATGTCTGAATGTCTCGGTGTTGCCCTCCGACTCCGTTTTCTTCTCCGTCGCTTGGCATGATGTCCCGCAAGCCGCATGATCCGCGCTACACCGCGACTGGCCAAGCGGACAATGAGAGTCTTCGTCGCGACGTCTCGCCCCAGTCAGACTCATCGCCACTGCCACAGCGACCGACGCGACAGTGGCATTCGGAACGACCACGTGCGATCGACGATTGCGATCACTTCCCATCACCCGCCTCCCGCCGACGCCTCATCTCCTCCAATGATCGAGTCGCTTTCAGAGACTCCTCATCCACCTCATCCGCTCAACGCGACACGAATCCTTAGCCAACTTCTCTCCAGAGCGCCTTTCACCTCCGCCTATAAAGCCGGCGCCATGTGCAGCCATGGAATCATCAGCTCCAATCGGCCTCTCTTCTCAATCTGCTCCACCAGAGCCCGTTTGCAGCAGCCTTCCGGCTCTCTCCAGCTGCTTGGCAAGCCCGATTCCGAGCCAACTCAGAAGCCACATCCGTGCAAGCCCTCACCCTCATGGCGACGGCTGGCATGCGCGTGCTGGTGCTGGCAGCGCTGGCGGTGGGGCTGCTAGCGGCGGCGGTGTGTGGAGCGCGGGACGCCATGAAGGTTGCCAGGGGCCTCGTCCCAACGGACGGGGCGGGGGCGGCGGGGCAGCAGAGGAAGGGCGGGCGCATTCTGGCTGCTGAGACCTACGCTCATGACGCCCCTCTGCCCGGCTACCTCGACCACATCCCCCGCCGCCAGGCCCTCGCCACCAGTACGTTGCTGCTGCTCCCTTTCTCCCTCTCTACGCTCGTTGCTGCTGCCATTCTTTCCCTCTCCACCCGCGCTGGTGCCTTGGCAGTGCTTCTGTTGACGCCCATGTCTCTGCTTTCCCCGCCATTCATTTCCCTGCTCCCTTCAGCACTCCTTTCCCTCTTCACCTCAGCACTCGTTCACCACCTGCTCCTCTCAGCACTCATGTCCTTGTTCCCCTCATCACCCATTCTCCCATCAGCACTCAGTTCCCTGTTCACCTCAGCACTGCTTTTCTGCTCCCCCACCACTCAGTTCCCTGCACCCCTCAGCACTCATTTCCCAGCACCTGTAGCACTCGAATTCCCGCATCGAGTCCTTAATTTCTTGTTCCACCCCATCTACCCCAACCCTTACTCCTCCCCAGCCTGTGGGCGCACGACGGTGACGATCCGGTCGCAGTACCTGGGGCCGTACGACCTGCACAACAACATCTACAACATGACCTTCTACAACGGCTGCGCCTACAACGTCACCAGCCCGCTGCGCGTGTACCAGTGCGCCAACTTCGGCAACGTGTGGGAGGGCAGCCTCGACAACCCCGCGCCCAACCCCACGCAGTACCAGACAGGCGACATCTTTGTGCAGTCCTCGATGGGGTACTGTGAGATGCGCATGAACCGCGGTGCTACCGGCACTGTGCAGATGTTCCCCGGGGAGACGGTCAACATTCTGTATGCGTGGACCAGTGACTGGCGCCCTTGCGCGTCGGAGCTGCGCTTCAGCAACGGCAACAGCTACTCCATGGCCGACGTCTCCGAGTGCCAGGCTGCTGCCGTCATCTAGACCTCTTCGTATAGGGTGGCTCACTGTGTTGCAAGTTGTCTGTGAACTGGTTCAGAAAAGGGTGGTAATAATGTGTGAATGGCACCAATTGTCATGTGAATGCTATATAAGTACAATTAATGCACAATTCCATATGCGCATGGGATCAGCATTTCATGTGGGATTAGTTAGTTTAGCACATTTTCAACCTCTGCATTACAATGTTATACGTATTCACCAAATCAATAGGGTTGTCATTCTGACTTCATGCCTATCCTTCGCCCCCCTGTCCCCAATCCCATGCTCCCCCCTGTCCCCAATCCCATGATGCCCCCAATCCCCAATCTCATGCTCCCCCTTGTCCAAAATCCCATGCTCCCCCCAATCCCCAATCCCATGCTTCCCCCTCCCCAATCCCATGCTCCCCCCTGTCCCCGATCCCTTACTCCCCCCTATCCCCAATCCCATGCTCCCCCCTGTCCCCAATCCCATGCTTCCCCCAATCCCCAATCCCATGCTCCCCCCTCCCCATTCCCATGCCCCCCCCCTATCCCCATTCCCATGCTCCCCCCTATCCCCAATCCCATGCTTCCCGCTGTCCCAAATCCCATGCTCCTCCCTATCCCCAATCCCATGCTTCCCCCTATCCCAAATCCCATGCTCCCTTGTCGGGAATCATACAGTCCCAGCCATACCGATTCTTGCAAGTGCTCTCCTCTTCTTCCCCTGGCTCTGCCACACTGTCTCTTCTGATGATGCTCTCAGCTGGGCCTCGTCAGTGCCCTTAGTTCTCGGCTGCTCTTTCCCCCACGTTCACCTGCATTCTCCACTAGTGGTGCTTGCCCCGCCTGAAACTGGTGCTCCAACCCTAGCTCGGTTGACTGAGGACAATTGGTCGGTTAGCGAGTACAGTGCTTGCGCGGGTTGGTTTCTCGTGCTTGACCTTCCCTTAGAGGATTTAGAAGTAGAAGTTGTAAGCATAAGTGTGAAAACAATCACGCAAGCAATCCTACCAAAGCTTGCCTAATTCTTAAGTACCAGCGACGGGTTACCATTATACCAACTGTTCCCGCTCGCCCGCCAATTCTTGGCTTTTCGGTTGTGTCAATTCGGCTGCAGCCGATTCTCTTGTCATCCTCCCTACTGTAGTTTTTTCTTATATCCTATTCGTCACGATGATATATCTACTCCTCTACGCACAGATTAGAATTGTGACAGCTGTCGGGAATCATACAGTTCCAGCCCTACCGATTCTTGCAAGTGCTCTCCTCTTCTTCCCCTGGCTCTGCCACACCGTCTCTTCTGATGATGCTCTCAGCTGGGCCTCGTCAGTGCCCTTAGTTCTCGGCTGCTCTTTCCCCCACATTCACCTGCATTATCCACTTGCCCCCTCCGCGGTTGTCTGCTGGCCCCTGCCGACTGCCGCTGGACTTCGTCAGTGCCTGTTCGGGTGGCTGTTTGATCCACTGTCCGCCCTCTCGCCCTCGCCACATTAGTGCAGTGATCAGTCCTCCTCTGCCCTTGCGCACTCACGAGCACCACTACCCCGGAGTCCTTGACCTTCTTCACCTTCCAGTGCTCCGTGCTCAGCCCGACGTCCATCAGGTCGTGTTTAGCCTGCTTCAGGTATACTTCCTCCCCTGCTCCCAGAGCCTTGTCCCTCTTCCCGTCTTGCCGTTCTCCCCTCTTCTTGTACCGTTGAGCGTCCCTCAGTTGAGCCACGTGTAAGTTTTCGAGTGCCGCTGGTAAGAGCTCCCTTAGATACCTCGCCCTCGCCTCGGCCAGCCCCACCCATTCCTCCTCATTTGCCACCTGCACTGACCCCGTGAGGATCCTCGGTGCATCTACGGGCAGCACTGGGTCTCGTCCTAAGAGCAGGTGGTACGGCGATAAGTCCCTTAGTGCCGCCTGTTTGCTAAATCTGTATCCGGCCACGACCCACGGGAGCCGCGAGTCCCAGTCCCGCTTAAACTTCTCCCCGTAAGCCCTCAGCCCCCGCTTCACTGTCTGTACGAATCGCTCTGTGAGGCCGTCGCTCTGCGGGTGATATCGTGAGGTCCTCCTGTGATTGATGCCGGTGGACTGCAACAGCTTGTCGAACTCCCCCATGAACTCCGTCCCTTGGTCGGTGAGCACTTCCCTGCATGCTCCGAACCTCGTGGGCACCTGCTCCTCGAACGCTTCGGCTATCTTCGCCGAGTTCTTGTTGAGAAGGGCCTTCACCTTGACCCATTTACTGCCGTGCTCAATCATGATTAAGATGTAGCGCTTCCCTTTCCTGCTCAGCGGCATCTCCCCGGCCAGGTTGAGAGACCATCGGAACCCTATGCCGTGTATGGGCAGCGACTGCAGCTCCTTCCTACCCCGCTCCAGTTCCGCTTTGTTTCGACTGCACAGCTCACACTTGGTCACCCACTCCCTCATGTCTCTCCTCATCCCTGCCCACCACCATCCGGTTTCCACTAGCTGCGTGGTGCGCAGGCTGCCATAGTGTCCTAACTGCCGGTGTACTGTGCTGATGATCTGCTCTCGCTCATGTGGCCGTGGGACCAGCTTCCATCCGTCCCGAGTGTTCTTCTGCAGCTACTCTTGGTGCCACCGGTAGTGAGCCCCCCTAGCTCTGGCCCTCTCGCTGGTTGTGGTTTCTTCGGCGGTCCTGCCTTGCACCCAGTCCGGCACTTCCTGGTCTTCCCAGACATCTGCAGACCCTGTCCCTTTTCCTCGGATGGCCCCTTCTGCATCTAGTTCTCTCGCTAGTGCCACCAGGCAGGCCGTAGGGCGATCCGTCGGCGGGTTCCGTGACAGCCTATCTACGTGTTGCATAGTTTTGCCTGCTCTGTATCGGATGGAGAAGTCATAATCTTGTAAGCGCATGGCCCAGCGAGCGTTCCTCCCCGTTAGCGCTTGGTTGGTCATTAGCCAGGTTAGCGGTTGGTGATATGTCACCAACTCGAACTGCCTCCCTTGTAGATATACTCGGAAATGGGTGATCTCCCACACGGCTGCTAGCCCTTCGCCCTAGTACGAGCCATAGTTAGCCTCGGCTGGGTTGCAGCTCCTGCTGGCGAAGGCGACCACCTTCTCTTCTCCTTCCCTCTTCTGACACAGGATTGCCCCCATGCCTGCGCTACTCCAGTCCGTGTACAGCACAAATTGATCCTCGATATTGGGCAGGGTCAGCACGGTAGCCGTTTTCACGGCTTTCAGCAGTGCTTGGAGTGCCCCCTGCTCTGCCTCCCCCCATTCCCATTTCTGGTCTTCCCTCAGCAGCTCGTAACGCCGCGGCCATGCCGGTCTCGATCCCCCCGTTCAACTCCAGGATGCGTATAGGTACGTCCAAGGTCTGCACCCTACTAACCCGCTCCGTCAAATCTGGCGGGCTCTGTCCCAAGGTCCGCCTCTCGATCCGCCGTTCGTACTCCTCCTCGTATCTCTCCCAAGGCCAATCCTCCAGTTCCTCTGTCAGATCCTTCCTTTGTGCCTGATACGCCTCTCGTGGCTCCTGCCAAACGAACCGGACGGGCAGCGTGCCCACCGCGCTCTCTGGGTCCCAGAATTGCACGCGGAATAGCACCTTCTCCTGCGAGGTGGAGATGGTAGCTCCTACTCGATAGAGAAGCTCCATCCCGACGAGGACATCGTAGTCCTCCGATTCCGAGATACCGCACTGTAGCCGGATACAACACTCTTTCTCAGTCCCCGGTAAGAGCACCACTTTTACCGGCCGCCTGGTTTTCGGCATCTACTTAGGCTCCCCTCCTTCGGCCGTCACGAGTGAAATTCCCCGCTCAATGGTGCGACCGAACACGTCCAGCTTCAGTTGTTTGGGGAGTCCCTTGCCGATGAGCAGGTGATGCGCTCCGGTATCAATGATGGCTTGCTTGACGGGCAGGTCTCCCACGGTAAGACTTCCCCGTTCTGCAATCAGCACGGACGCTTGACACACCAGCCTTTCGTTCGGGTGTCTCCTCATATCCGTGGGCCACACTCCTTCGACTTGACTGCTCCAGGGGCGGGTTCCGCTCGCCACTTCACTGCTCTGAGACTGGCTAGCCCTTGGTCGGAGGCGGATATCATCCCGAGCCCGAGGATAGGCCATGGCGGCGTACTCTCGCGTGTAGTCTTCTTCGCCTTCTTCCTCGGCTTCGTCCATTTCTTCGTACGCCAACATCGCCCGTGCCTTTACCTCCTTCGGATTAGGCAGCTGCTCCAGCCTCAGCTGCAGCCGCCGCACCTCGGCTTGGAGCTCTTCTCGAGTTGCCCCCAGCGCGTCCCTCGGCCAGCTGTAACAGTCCTCCTTCCGGTGTCCGCGTTTCCCGCACTGCTCACATGTCGGCGCGTTGGGGCAGTCACGCTTCAGGTGCCCGTGCTCTCCGCAGGTGTGACAAAGCCGAGGGTCGGCTCGGCTGCTGCCCCCAGATGCCGAGTCTGGTACCGCCGCTGCTGCCCAGCTCGTCTTCGCCCGACTCCTTCCGTCCGAATCTTCCAGATCCAGCAGTCGTTGCGCTTGCTCCGTTTTCTTCGTCAGCAGATAGACTTCCTTTAGAGTGACATCGGCGCCGATGCTGTAGACAGTGCTCCACACCACTCCCTTCAGCTCTTCGTCTAGCCCCCGCACAAACTTCATCACCAGCAGGCGTTCGTCAGAGCTTTCTAGATCTTCCGCTAATTCACGGAGTCTGCAGTATTAGGCCAGCAGCGACTCTTCTTTCTTGCGGCGGAAGTCCCGAACCTCCTCGACACGCGCCTTAGTCTACCCCGCGAACTCCTTCCGCAACAGCTGCAGGAATCGGGCTGTCGAGTTGGCTATTTCTCCGGCCGCCAGCTCTTCTAGAACTTTGTCTCGAGTCAGGCGGTAGAAGGTCTCAGCCTCGCCCGCCAACGTCCCCACCATCTTCCGGAAGAATTCAGCCGGGTCATACCCGTCGCGTTCCCAGCAATACTGTACGGTCTCGAGCTGCATAAGGTAATTCTTGAGATTGGGCCCCACGCCAGGAATCCCCGTATATCGCTCGGCCACC